GCTCCTCGCTCCTGCACTGTCGGATGACAGAACACAGAACAGTTAGAGATCACGTTTGATTTTTAGATGTGTTCCTTCCTTTGGCGTTGACCCACATTCTTCCTAAAAGCTGGAACCCCAGCAAAGCAAAGTAACTTGCCAATTTGCCCTGTCGGAGATACAGAACTTTAGCACTGGGGAGCCTCTCTCCTGGTAATTTCTGCCAGTCCTTTGGTACCAATGATGCTTAGGGTGAAGAGAGGGGGAACTCAAGGGAGGCATCCTGACACCCCTCAGAGGAGCCCTAAGAAGCCCTGAAATTCTGTAGTCAAGGAAAGAACGAGGGAGGAAGACAGGAAAGGAAGGAGAGAAATCGTCCTTTGTGAAGGTTTAATTTTCTTGTGTGTGAGTGTGTATGGGTATGTAACACATGAGTGCAGGTGCCCCCGGAGCCATTGAATCCTCTGAGGCAGAAATCACAGGAGGTCGTGAGCCACCGAGTGTGGGTGCTGGGAACCGAACGTGGGTCCTCTGCTACAGCAGTCCATCCTCTTAACCACCGAGCACCTCTCCAGTTCCGGAGAGGAATTCGTAAGCTGCAGTTCAGAAGACAGAATTAATTCCATTATTGCCGTCCAATGTGAGCTTGTGAACAGGTATGTGCTACATACAGCCATAGGTTTATTCGTTTAGACGCCCAGCTGTCGCATGAGATGGACCTCACTCCCATTTTACAGGCAGATAATGAAGCCAGGAGGCTGGACGCAGAGCCTCTGTCTGCATAACCCATACCCCGCCCCAATGCCAGTGCCCTTGGCATGCTTTGCTCTGTGCTTCAGAGTGGTAAAGTGTAGAGAGACGGCAGTGCTGGGCTTCCGTGGTCTGGGGTCTCTCATCTGTGGCGGGATGAAGGTAGTGACTCCTGGGCCCCAAGTCCTCACCATATAGAGTCTGGGAGGAGAGATCGGTCATGGAGTAGCGAGGACAGCCGTACTGTGTGTAAGGGAAGCAGGGGAAGGGGGCAAGACAGGGGGAAGGAGAAAGGGTTCTGTTTTCTGGTTGCAAAGAGTCCCTGCCAAGAGCAGCTTTCTGGAACTGCCTAGAGATCAAGTGACAGTCACAGCCCCTCCTGGGACAGCTGGTAGCTCTCACACTGCATCCCCGAGTGAGTGCATAGTGAGACATTCAGTAGAAGCCAGACTAACCCTCACTCAGCCCTGAGAGTTTTAGCTCCTGTTGTGTGGAAGGTATATACTAAGTTCAGCCCTTGAGGTCTAGTCAGCCAGGTCTTATAGAGAGAAGCACTTTAGAACGCCAAGCAGGAGCTGTGTCATACAGGACCCTGGCCTTGGCCACCTCTGGACATTTGGGAGAACGGGCTGGGTGAGGTTTTGTCCTGCAGAGGCAGACCCTGGACTTGTGATGTCTACAGGAAGGAACAGGCACTTAGGACCAATTCCAGTGAGGAAACGTCTCCTTGTTTCCAAGCAGCTGCTCTAAACCAGAGTGAACACGAGCCACACGTCTGCTAGCCAGCACCTACTCATGCCCTCTTGAAACACACAACCAGCTGCATGTGCCAAAGGCAGAGGGCTTGGATCCTCCCCTCTCTGGCTAGCCACACTGAACGTCCACGGGTGGAGTTCCACCTCCACTAAGACCCATCTGACAGTGACTCTTTAGAATAGACACTGGGTTTTCTGATGCTGTGCCTGGCCACAGCCTTCACCAGCTCTGAAAGGACCAACACCGCCATCTGGTGGGCACATCAGGCAGCACAGGAAGCAGAATTAACCTGCAGACTTGAAGAATGCCATTACAAACCCTGTCTGGGTGCAGTGGAGTGAGACAGTAGCCTCTACTCAGCAGCCATGCTAATGGTTATTCAGGCGTCCATGAAATTAATAACCCCAATAATAGAATACCAGGCCAGGAAGGTAGTAAAAGGCAGGAAAGGACTTGTCTTCCATCTGTTCTCTAGGAGATGCTCTGGGAAACACCCCAGGTGGGAATTCTGGAAGCACACAAGGTCACAGGTTTGAAACAAAACTGAAATAAGCATCCAGGGTTTGCTTCCAAGTTGTCATAACTCTGCTTCCATGCAAAGGGTAGCCAGGAGGTGTGCATTCTATAAGAGCCGCCCAGCCAGAGGGGCCTCTTTTAGTTTGTCCTGACAAAGCTACTGCATGCCTGCTTCTTCCCATCAGTATGCTCTGACTTCAGCATGGAGTCCTCAGACCTGTCACAGAGATGTGCACACTCACAGAGCTCAACCCTAACATCCAAGGGTCAGCACTTCCATCCCAACCCCCACAAAGTCCCCAGCATAATGAGCAGGCTCTCTACCCCAGCAGGAGGCCACAGAACCCTGCCTGCATTTGAGCCCCGCCCTGGCTCTAACTGCTCCCATCAGCTTTGCCTGGCTGGTGGGAAGGTGCAATTGATGTCAGCTGAGGTATGGGCTTGATTCTGCAGCCCCTCTGAGGGACTGTGGTGTCCTCTCGTCAGTGTGAGCCCCCTTGGTCCAATAGCAGTAAGACATGCACTAGAAGTGTCCACTGGGTACTGGCTGACTTGGGTGTCTTCTACTACCTGGACGTCAGTGTCTGTGATGGACTTCCCGGGATTGGGGCAGCCTGGGACTTCTTATAAGTGTGCTTTGGGTAAAGGAGGACGCTACTGCAGGCTTGGTCGCAGGAAAGGAACCTGTTTATGCTAAACCTCTTCCTATAAACTGGCATCAAGACTCTGGCACTCCGCCCCTGCCTTACCAAGCAACTCTGGCATGCTAGTGGGAAATCCTCTTCTAAATGCTGATGTACCTTCGCACCAGGACAGACACTCCCAGATCCTCCCAGATCCTCCAAACCCTCCCAGACCATCTGGATGGTGCTACATGCAGCTGGCCTGTCATATCCCAGCATCGATCCCTTCGTGCTGTTTCCTGCTTGGGTGGCAGAGCTGGTAGCTCATTGCTGACAGCCCCCCCCCACTTCCCCCTGAGCCAGGCTGGCATCCCCTGTACTCAGGGAGGCCAGAGTCAGGGCCGAGCTCCAGCTTTTCACTGCGCGTGGGCACTATGTCACTTTCCTTTGTGTCTTGGCTTCAGTGAACTAGCAACTAAGGCAGCATCTGTGTAAATCATGTCAGACAGACAGACAGACCAAGTAGAGTGAGAGCCATCTGTCCTTCGAGTGCAGTCTGTGGTGGTGTCTGTTCTGATGTGAGACGTTTTTCTGCTTACTGTGTATAAGCAGGGTGTGACTCCATGTGTCCAGAGGTCTAAGGATAAAACAGCCGAGCTGGTTGGCATTAGCGGTAGAAAGGCATGCCTGGGGAGCAGGTGGGGACACGTTGTTACCACTCTTGCTGTCTCAGCAGCTGACTTACAGAGTGCATGCTATCTGCTCAGCCCCACGAATGTGTTGCACAGTCACACCAGCACCTGCAGAGGGAGGGTTTGCTGCCCATCCTTGTTACACGGGAGAAACTAAGCCACAGCAAGGGTAAGGCACGACCTATCAGCTGCACAGCAGCAGAGCTGAGATCCCGGTATAGACCCTGAGAACCTAACCCATGCTCTGGTGGCTGGAAGCCACCTTCCAACCTGTCCTTCCCCTCAGGCTTGTCCTCTGTGCTGTGATTCAGTGCAGTATGGAGCCTGTGTTCCACTGTGTTCCTAAAGTGAACCGTGTGAGACACTGGGGCAGATTACCCTGCAAGAGCTCAGTGCCAGGACTCAGAACAAGTCTTCAGCCTCTCGGACCTGCCGTTTCCTCCATCAGACTGAAGTAACATAGCACTTGCTGGGGAGACTCGATGAGCTAGTAACCTATGCGTGAGTTCTCTGTATGCAGCTTAGGTGTTGTAGACATAAATGGCAGTTTTAAAGAAAAAAAAAACATTATAGAGTCAGAAAGCAAATGTTTGAATAGATTTGAATGAGTTCTGTCAAACAAGGGGTTCTAGGATTCATTTACATGCTTCCTATAAAAGGCTGCATCTTGAAGTCATATACAGAAGAAAATACCTCAGGTGTGAGGCTGAACACGCTAAGGGTGCCTATAATGGTGGCCGTGGCCCTGGACAACCCTGGGTCTGGGTCCCAGCACTTGCCCGCTCTGCGGTTTGAATCCTCCTGCTTGTGTTGGTATGAACAGAGGAAAGCATTCGCGGGTCTGGGGTGCACCAGTGACCCAAACAGCCTCCAAACTCCAGCTTCCCATAATCCGCCTCAGCCTCCCTAGTGCTAGGCTTACAGGTTACCACGACCTCCAACCAGAGTGTGCATTTTAAGACATATGGCCAAAGTGGATTTGAACTTTTTACTTCATGTTTTTAGTGTTTATTAATTTTTAATATTTAATGTCAACCTGATACAGAAATGTAATATTTACCTCTCCAGTTTGCCATGATTACTCCCTCTCAAATCCTTTCCGATGGGATCTCTGGGCTATCTGCACCCCAGGAGGCCAGGGTTATCAGGAATGTTGTCCTGTGTTCCTCCTTCTTGCTCCTAGTAAGTTTCAGGTACAGTGTTCCATAAACAACACCCCCTCCAGCCCAAAAGAAAGACCTAAGTAGCTGCATTGTACAGGACATGGCAAGGCTGGCTGTCACCCACTCATCATTGCACCCGCAGACAATAGAGCCTCATCACCTGCCGCCTAGTGGTCCCCCAGCACAGTTGTTCCTCGGAGTCCAGTGTGCTTTCTGGGACTGTCCCTTTGGGTACACTGAGATGGGGAGGTGACTTGTAGCTGCATTTGTAGGACATGGTCATCAAGGACCTTCCTGAACTAACCTCAGAAGTGTCCCCTGAGCCCCCCAGCCCCCAGCCCCGCAGCCTGATTGCTGACAAAGTAACAGAGGGAAGGAGGCCAGCTTTCGCTTCCGGTTCCTCCTTCCCTCCTCCGTGGCAGAAGCCACCACTGCTCATTCTGGGCTCTCCACAGCCTTCGCTCCTTTTTCCATTGTGCCAATCACTCACTAAATCCCCCTTTTTCCTTCCTGTTCCCCAGCCCGCCTAAACCAACGGTGTTCATCTCTGGTGTTATGGCTCGGGTAAGTGTGGCCTGTGCACACGGATGGGTGGTGGAGGTGTGGGGGTGGGTGGTCCTGCACCTGACCTGCCCCACGCGATCTCTTCTTGCCTTCGGTGAGCGCCAGTGCTATCCATCTGACCCGGGACTGGTAGCTTTCTTGGGTGACAGACTTCCCAGGAGAGTGAGTCAGTGGGTAGGAATTTGTGATGCCCACAACTGAGCCTCCATGCTGCAAAATTACCTCTTCATCATAGGCTATGGCTCTGGGCCTTATGTGGCCTGGCCTGCACACGTGTTCCCAACATCAGGACAGGGTGTGTGACACAGGAGACTTAAATGACTTACCAGTTCAGGGTTTGTGAGCGAAGGTTTGGTATTACGTATGCAGCCAGGCATGCACACGTGTGTCCTGCCTGAGTGCTCTTGTCTGCTGACCCTCGGGCTACACTCATGCTGCCTGCCACACCATATACCTTTGAGGGGCCCGCTTCTCTTGCAATCCAAGCTCCACTGTTCGAGGAAGCCACCATTGTCGGGGACAGCTTTGCTAACACTACTGTCACAGCCATCTAAGATCTGGGGCCAACCCATGTTAAGTCTGCTGTGTGCAAGAATATTAAATGCCTGCATATGGCCAGATCCCTCCTTGATTGCATTGTTCTGTCTGCCCTTGCCCAGATCAAAGCTGAACATAGCTGGGCCCTTTCTCCAGGCCCCCAAAGGTTGCTTCTCCCCCACCACGTGTCCTAGACCCGCTCTCAGCCATGTTCACAGATCCAAGCGTGAAACTAGATTTGGGCTGCCTTGTCCCAATTCAGATGACAGAAACAGACCTAGAAGGGAAAGCAGCTGAGTCTTCTGAAGGTAAAACTGCAAGCATAGCCACTGTTCCATCGTGGGGGGCTCAGGTTACTGTCTGCTGCCTGGCTCTGCTGGCCTGCAGGACCTGGCCAGCCACAGCAGTAACCCACTGCTAACGCATGCCCCGCCCCTGCAGGAGGACTTTTCTCTCTATCTCTACTCTATTCATTTATGGTTGACCAGCTTGTACACTGTCTCCTTGCAGGGTGACAAAGACTTTCCCCCCGGCGGCTGCACAGGTGGCCCACCAGAAGCCGCATGCATCCATGGACAAACATGTTTCTCCAAGAACACAGCACATCCAGCAGCCCCGCAAGTGACCGGCACCCAGACCCCGGCACCCTCTGCAGCAGCACCCAGACCCATCTCCCATGATGCTCCCCCAACCAAAGGAACGTGCACTTTCCAAGCGGTTTACCAAGTTCAGAAACCCAATACAAAGTGAACCCCCATTGTCTCTGATCCCGTATTTAAAACTAGAGGAGGCTCAAACTCGAAACTTTGTTTCTAAGAGTCCTAATTGTGTGTCACTGAAGAGTCATTGTACCCCCCCCTCCCAGAAGTGCCATTAGCAGGACTTGGCAAGTCCTGAGGAAGCTCTTCATACCAGCAATCACTCAAAGTCCTTACTCTTGGTCCTAAAAGGAAGCCATTTTGGGGTGATTGATAAAGTTAGAAGAACAAAACACTAGGATATGGCTTTTATAAATTGTGCTTACTTCCTACCCTAGGATACCCTGGGTTTCCCCCTGCCCCCCCCACTCCCATCTGCAGTTCATGGCTGCAGAATTCCTGCTTTTCTGAAAAAAAAAATCAAATCAAAGGGCTCCCTTTAGCCAGATGTAGAACCTTCTAGAGTGCTGCTCATGGAGAATGCTCCTGCATGGCCCAGTGACCTGCAGTGGAGTCAGCTGCAGGCCACAGTGACTCTGTGAGCAGTGTCGGCACCACCGGCTGGCCTGGCACTGCTCACCAGGCCTGTGCCATTTCACTGAAGGAGACGTGGGCTTCTTGAATCTTATAAGCAATTTGGTGCCTCAGCAGTGGAGTTAACATGGAGCAGAGACACAAACGTCCAGACCCTGTCTTGTCAGTCTCTTCCTTCTTAATTTCTGAAATGGCATGAACCAAGGGTCATGTTAGAGGCCGGGGCTTGGCTACAACGCTGCCATGGAACCCCCAGCCTTGCTCTGTCGTATGGAACCAAATATAGTAAAGAACCTTAGAGCAGGCAACACCAGGTCCCCGTGCAGACCTTTCCACCTTCTGTGGCATAAATCCTGAAGCACCCCGAGGGGCCACCCCGTGTTCCTTGTACGCTGAGCTAGCTCTGGTGTGCATCTGGGGGCTCTAGGTCACTGAATGTGACACGTTTCCCTAAATGAATTTCTTAATCGTTGGCATTGAGAATATGTTGATTATAATAAAGCTCCTGCATTGTGCCTTGGTCTCCCTCTTATGTCTCAGGGATCCCCTTTCAGCTCCGCAGGGCTGCCAGCTGTTGCAGTGGCAGCACAGACAGGCATGCACGGTGGATATCCTCGACACAGATTTCCCACACACACAATTAAGCTGCTGGACACCTGGCAAGCCCAGCATAGTCTCCTTCTGTAACTGTCAGAAGATGGAAAGGCTTAATCCCATTGAGTGACATGTCCTGCTTGGGTCCAGCAGCTGGCCCTGTGCTGGGTAGGTACTTTCGGGGCAGAATTAAAAGAGAATTACTAGTAGTAAGTCCAGAAGTAATGCTGAACAGCTTTTGATGTGCCAGGCATTTACCTATTTCGGATCTTCCTAGACACCTGCTAAGGCTGGAGCCCCAGCATCAGGCCGCCCAAGTTTTCCACCAACAGCTGCGTATAAGTCGGAGAGGACTTGAGAAGCTGAGAAAGGAGGATAAGGAGTTGAAGGCCACCTCGCATGTGGCAGCTTCTGCAGGTCCCTCCGGCCCTGCCCTTCCTTGGCTAGTCTGGTGTTCGGTTGTGTGTCATGAAGAACAGCAATGTGGATCTTCATCTTGCATCCAGGAACAGAGCTGTTCTTGGTAACTAAGTGTGGTCAGTAGACACCAAAGCATCCCCAAACCTGTCACCTGCTGCAGGTTTCAGAACTAGTCCCAGAGCAGACAGACAGAGAAGACAAAAGGGACGGAAGTGCTAGGCCCCACACTGAGCAACTGTCCTGGTTATGCCGTCTGTGCTTCGGTCACGTGTCTGCAGTTCCAGGGCTCCCTGTGGACTAGGCTCAGCTTTGCACTGATTGACCTGTCAGAGGTATGTTCTAGTGTGAGGGAAGACGATAAATCTCTGAAGCCAATGCCACAGTCCCATTACCAGAAGGCTCTCTGATGAGATACACCAGTGACCAGTAAGCACATGAAAAGGACATGTCCTAGCTGGGCATGGTGGCACATGCCTATAATCCCAGCACCTGAGAGGCTCAGGAAGGAGGATCATGAGTTCAAGGCCATCTTGTGCTGCATAGTAACACCTTGTCTCAGAAAAATAAAAATGAATAAGAGGTGTTCCTCTTTAGTCATCAAGGAAATGGAATTTAGACCCACAATGAAATACTGCAGAACAATAGCTAAAACCAAGTCAGACAGTTACAAGAGCTGACAAAGATATATGGAAAGCAGAGTTCTCATCCAGTACTATTGGGAGTGTAAAATGGTGCAGCCCCTTGCGGAAAGAATCTAGCAGGACCCTGAGCAATTCAGCACGGAGCTGCCAGCTACTTACTGCTGGGCATGTATCCAGTGGGAATAAAGATGTGCCCACACAAACCTTACGCTCCGTGTCTAGCAGCATTATCCAAAAGGTAGAAACGACTCAGATGCCTTACCTGGACACTCCCCCAGGATCACTGCAGATGTGGCCGTGGAGGTGCCACTGAGGCAGGGTGGAGGCGTGCCAGGATGCACATGTGTTAGATAAAACACGCAACAAGACCAAGAAGTTAAGCAGGTGACCCTGGGCTAAGAAAGCGCCCATAAATAACCCAGAGAGTCCAGAACAGATGACAGCCCAACATTACCTCCTCATGTCCAAGGAGGACAGATGCCAAATTCAAATGAATCCTGCATTTGTTCTAGGTAGATCAACACTCATCCATCTCATCCATTCTATAGGTTTCCCTTGGCTCCTAGTGCCTGAGACAACAGAACCCAGAGCTCAGGATGAGCCTTGGTTTTAAGATCTGTTCTATCTGCTTATTACCCACAAGGTCTTAGGAAGCTTGTTTTTTTTCCTAAGTCTCAGTTTTATCATCATAACACAGGGGACGTTGCAGAAGTTCCCAGATAACCCTTGTACATGATAAAACAGTCTCCGTTAACACTGATGTATCATAATTCTTCCTATATATAAAGCAAGATCGGAGATGCTGTGAATTCTGCCCAATTATCAAATCTCACAAGGAGGTTGGGGAAGAGAGGGGGAAGCCAATCCTGAGATGCACCAGGAGCACGGTAAGATGACAAGCTTAGCTTCCGCCCTGAAGGTGCACACTGCTGCCCGGCACACCTGCTCTTCATTCACTCTTCCGTGTGTCCAGGTGTGGAAGGCAGGTGAGCCTTCATGTGCGCCCAGGAGCAAAGACACTGGTAGGACATGCCACAGCTTCCGCTAACCCCTGCCACTGGACAGTGCAATGGCCTTCAGCCACCTGGCCTAGTGGAGCCTGGAACTCAGATGTCCTAGAGCTGGGTGGGGGCAGAGATTGGCGGGCCCAGCAAGCTTGTGATTCTTTTCTAAACATCTGCCTCCCACCACCACAGCCATGGTGTTCCACTGTTCTGCAGATTCCTGAACTAGCTGTTGTGCTGATTAAATGTTCCTTTTACAAACCCGAAAGGAACTTTCCCCCCCAAGACAGGGCATCCTTCTGGCCATCTGCAGGATCAAAACACAAACCAAACAAAACCTAGGCCTTTCACAAGGCTCCAGAGGGACATCTACAGCCATATGTTCCTAAAGAAGCAGGGGACAGCAGGAGGGAATTCTGAGTACTTGAAATTGCATCTTAACTGTGGCCTGAGCCAGGAGTTCCCCAGAGAGCCAGAGGCAAAGAGTGTGACTATACACAGTCACATCTCACATAACAGTGGCCAGTGATGGACCTCATCTATCTCATTCTGTATTATTGGGTGTTTCCATGAGATTACATCACCTAGGGACCCTGCACCTGTCATGGGCTGTGTAAGTACACATGAGGTTTGGAAATGACAAAACCATGTCATGGCTCATTTCTCAGAGCAAACACCTGTTCTTAAGTGGCATCTAACTGTATGCATGCAAGCACAAACACGTTTGTGGAAGCATGTTTGCCCTTATTTACAATCTCATATACACACACCATGTGGGTTCTTTTTCAGTGTGTGTGTGTGTGTGTGTGTGTGTGTGTGTGTGTGTGTGTGTGTGTGTGTGTGTGCAGTATATGGGCACCTGAGCACAAAAGGAAGCCAGAGGAGGACATTGTCCTGCTTTCTCATTCTCTGCCCTTTTCTTTTGAGACTCAGTCTCTCACTGAGCCTATAGCTAGGCTGGAAGTCAGCAAACCACAGGGATCCTACTGTCTCATTCCACACAGCACTAGAGTTACAGGGACACACGGTGAAGCCTGCACGTGGGGGTTGGAGGGGGCATGTTGAACTTGGGTCTCCATTTTTGTGAAGCAAGCCCTCTTGCTAAGCCAGCTACCAGCCCTGCACTGTTTATTTTTAAAGTTTCATATACACAGTGTATTTTGGTCAGATTTATCCTTCTTTCCCTCGACTGTCATTCTTGACCAAACCCTGTCTTTCCAGCTAGACCATCTCCTACTTTTATGTCTTTTTGTTGTTGTGGTGGTGGTGGTGGTTTTGAAACAGTCTGTGTAGGTCTGACTGACCTGCAACATGCTACATGGACTAGGTTGGCCATCCTCCTGCCTGAGTCTTTTTTAGTGCTTAGATAAACAGTATAAGTCACCAGGTGTGGTGGTACACGTCTTTAATCCCAGCACTCGAAAGGAAGGGGAAGGCAGATCTCTGTGTTCGAGGCCTAGTCTACATAGTGAGTTTCGGGACAGCCGGGGCTATACTGGAAGATCAAGTCTCAATCAATAAATAAATAAAATAAGAACAATAAAATACAAGTGTGAGCCACACTCTCAGTAGAATGAACTTATAAAAACAACTGGCCCATGAACCTACGCTGGCAAATGCACCCTGTAGACTTTGCTGGGAGGATGCATCCCTGGCAAGGCCCAAGGTTGTCTGTGATAGACCTGCATGATTCTCAGAAGCATCAGCCTTGGACAGACTGTTTGGAGGCCAGTCACACGATGGAGGACAATCTGCTTTAGCCAAAGTCCACCAACTGAAACCATGTTCACAAAGCCCCCATTGAGCATAGTGTTTAACCAAGTATCGGGACACTGCGGCATGCTGACACAGAAAGTGAACCCACATGAATTCACCACAGTTCATATTTAGCACGGCCTCAAAGCATGCTATTGAGTGCTTAGATCTATTTCCCTCTGGCAGCACTGACATGTCTGCAAGTCTCTGCAATGTTCTGTCTAGCATTTAACTTGCTCATCCAAACAAGCATTCTAAAATTCAATTAACCACATTCATGACAAGAGAAAATATTTTTCCTTCTTCCTCCCCTTTAATCCTAAATATTGTGATAAATCCAACTGCCCTGCTTTAAAAAAAAATCCAATTTGTCAACTGGAAAAAACCCAACACCATCTGATAAAATAAACTAATATAATCGGGAGGATTTGGGACTCTTCTTAGAAGTCCTAAATGAGATTTTTTATTGCGTTTCAGCATTGTTGTTCTGCACTCCTGCAGGTCACTTGAAAGAGACAGGCCAGCATTTTAAGGCAGAGGGCTTGGTTTTCCATGCAAGTCACAAGAACCCTTCGTAGTCTCTTCCAGAGAGACCCTTGGGACAATGGAATGTGTTTAGAGAATTGATAAGGTCCCTCGTTATCCCAAGAACGGTGGCTGTTATCTAGGAGTGATATCACCTGACAGGGAACGTTTGGCAAAGTCTGGAGACAATTTTTAGTTGTCACAACTGGGAAGCTCGGGATGGACTGGTTGGGTCGCATCCCCTCGCACAGAGGGGCCTCACTCAAAAGGCAGCGACGCCAAGACCATCAGCGTCGTCGTATGTGCCTGCCCTGTTCTAGAACCCTCTGGTTTATTATAATGTAACTAAACAGTCAAAGGCCATTTCTCCTCCATCTGAAATCTTGAAAAGCCACCGTCCATGTTTCCGGGGTGAAGGCAGCGGAAGCGGCTGCCACTGCCTGCACGTACGCGCCTTGGCAGTCCTCAAAGCACAGTGGAGAAAATTGCCGTGATGCAGATTCGCTCCTGGATGTGTTAGATAGAGCAAATCTCTTCCTTCAGGGACAGTGTGCAGCAGAGCTACAGTGTAATGGT